CAAGTCCGGAAGCAATTATATAGCTGGCTATATCTGTGCTGTTCTAGAAATAGCATCTTGGATTTGTAGCAAAACTGAGGCTGTTTGTCTCTCTGTGTGTATATGTGTGTGTGCATTTATTATATATTGCTGGATGTATATATATTGGTGTAGCATGGACAATTTCCTGTTTTCTCCTTCTGGATTTCCCTTAAGCAAGAAGGGTGGAGGTGGTTAGAATCTTATTTTTCAGACTTATTTTCTTTAACGAGATCCACATGACTAAAAATGTGCCAGGCTTTGAAAATTTGGGAGTGGGGAAGCTGCTGCAGTGCACAGAAATGGAAATGCTGATAGTTCAGACATAGTATGTGGACCAAGGGTTGGATAACAGTCAGATTCCTTTCCAACAGCTGAAACTTAGCAGATTTGGAATAGGCAACATTCAGAACTCCATATAGAGTCCCTGATCTTCCAACCTCTTCTCCCCATTGCCTCTTGTAAGGAAAATGTTTCCAGGAAAAGTGTTTTAATAACTTGGTAATTGTCTGATGTAGAACAGATTAGGAACAGAAATAAGGGCCTCTGTCCTCATAACCAACCCTTTCCTACTTAAAATTACTGCAAGGAGACTGTCTGCATCCCAGAAGCCTCTTAAATTCATTATTGCTTTTCTGCCTTTTCAATTGGTCTATTTGTTTTGCCTATGTAGTTTTAGACCGTGGTAGGGGAATTAGGGAGGTTTTTAAGGTAGGAAATGAACGGTTTGCTTCCTTGGAGACTTCTTGTTCTCATTCTTACAACAGCGTCTCTCAACTTTTAAACCGTGTGGCCTTCAAGTCCACAAGCATGGGTAATCCTGGGAGTTGAAGTCTGCACCTCGATGTTCTAGAGCAGGGGTGTCAAATTGGCAGCCCACGGGCTGGATGCGCCAACACAGGCCACGCCCACCCCGGCTCCACAAAGGCAAAAACCATCGCAATATGCCATGAGACGCAATCCAGTTTGACACCTGTGTTCTAGATGTTTCAGGGCTTCCAAAAGATTCTTTCCATTACCAAGAGGGAAAGGAATTCTCTCTGCTCTTAGATATTAAATTGGACTTCAAATTCCAGAATTCCCCAGCCTGTATGCTGGTTGGGGAATGCTGGGAATTGAAGTCCACGTGTTTTTAAGACTACCAAGGTTAACAAACACTGCCTTACAACTTAATATTTAGAAAAAGAGGCCCAAAAGATCCTGTGCTACCATCACTTTTCTAGTCTAGTTACGTATCTTCCAGCGCTCAGCTAACTGCTACAGATTTATGCTCCTCTGGGCTAAGGAGCGAACTTAATTTTAATATTATCTAAGCCCTGGCTAAAGTTTTGAATCAGAACCAAAATATTCATAACCTTTTTAGAATTGAACACCAACTTCAATATATCATTGTTTCCCTAAAAGAGGCTGCTTCTGGTTCAGAAGCTTTGAGCCAAGTCAGACTGCATAAAAGTCATTTCACAGTAACTTCAGTGCATGAAATGGCTACATTTTCTTTTGTTCTAATCTTGCTAGTATTTTGTGAGGATCATATATCGTATTTGTAGAGCTGGCACAAGGTCTGGATCACTACAGGGGAGTAACCACCTTCTTCCCAGAAGCTGTTACTCAGTCTTGAAGCATGTAACAAAAACAAATGAGATCCAGCCTGATTAGGAGGAAGGCAATTTTTAAAAGTAAAGGCTCAGAACTCACATAAGAGCTATGTGAAGCCATTAGAATTACCTCCCTCTTTCAAAAAGTTCTTATCTTCTACAGAACTTTAGAAATGAAGTAAGAGTTTAAAAAACATGGTGAGATAGAAATGGATTTGATTACTGAACTGATAAATCATTCTTTTACTTCTAAATATTTTGCACTGTACGCTTCTTGGTGGAAAAATCATTACCCGGAATCCTCTGAATATGCCTTAATGCAATAGGAAGGTTTTCCTCCATTGCCCTCAGTTGAAAGAATGTACTGTATTTAAAAAAGAACTGATATGCATGGAGACAGGTGTGAATGGCTTAGTTTCATACACATACAGTATTGGAAACACTCCCAGAAAGAAAAGATTTGGAGGTAACTTTCAACAAATGCTTTAGGCCAGGGGTGTCCAACCTTGGCAACTTTAAGACTTGTGGACTTCAACTCCCAGAATTCCTCAGCCAGCAAAGCTGCCAAGGTTGGACACCCCTGCTCTAGGCCTTGCTTCTCCTTTGCATATAGAGCTACCAGCTCCTTACAGTTTATAATGTAGAACTACTTTGGTGTAAAATGATTTAGAAACTGGCCCACAAATGTCAAGTTCCACCCTAGTCATGAAAACTAGCTGAGTAACTTTGCCCCAGGATATACATCCAATAAGTGAGTTTTAACCACCAATCTTGGACTTTCTATGGTACTTCCAGGTGCAGAGTGAGTGATCTAATACTGACATATAACAGTATTTCTTTAATTAAGATTAAACCAGCCCCATTCAAGGGAGTTAATGTCAATCACATAATCTGTTGCCTGATACTGAGTAACAGTGGAAGGAAATTCATCAAGTAATAGAATGAAGTTGCTATTGGTCCTTTGACAGTGCTATCTTCTGAAGCAGCAGGTCAATCGATAAGTATGAAAGAACTGGGTAAAGTGTGACACAGAAATATAACATAGTTTAGTCGTAGTGTTCCATTGGCAATCTAATAAACATTCAAACATGGTAAGAGATTCTTGAAGTAGAGGTTAGGGTATAGGCTTCGACCGGAATTGCTTTACCTTAAGCACAAACTGGGAAAGTAGCAATACATTGAAAATGCTTCTGAGCAACTAATCCAGAGAAAACAATTTTAAGAATTTGAGGCCTACAATAGCATTCTGTATTTTTCTTCGCCACAATGAAGAACACAAAGGAAAAAAAATCAAGAACATTTCTGAAGGCAAGACTTTTCTAATATCTACATTTAGAAGAGGACGACTGCTACTGTAAACTTATAATGCTTGCTATAAAAGAACTATTAGGACTAAGATTATGAATCCCAAAGGATACCACTCCACATTGCTTCCAAAATCCGTCTGAATCATTTCTTATTTATGAAGAAAAACAAGTGCAAAGAAAAATCTTCCTGATCTCCCTTGTTGGATATTCTTGGCATCTGTGAGAACTGTAACTCCCTCTGTCCTTCCTCCCCCCTCTCCTCCCCAAAATTGAACTCCATCCTAGCCATAAGACAACCAGAAAACATAGGACAGATTCAGGTTGTCTACAGTGTATCATCTCATGCTTGCAGTTCATCCTGCTTAAGAAGCCTCCTCATGCATTTTCAATATTTCCAACTTGAATAGGTGCCAACAATAGGCATTAACCAGAGAAAATTCAGGCTGCTGACTGTCTCTTAGCAGGGAGTAAAATATTGCTCAGATTGATAAGCAATCTCTTGATCTTGAATTTTGCCTATGGAGAAACATTACAAACTTAGTTTTGTAAAATAGTCAAATTGTGTTGATTTTAAGTAAATAAGCAAAGATGTCATGTATGAAAAACCACAAGGGTTGCCTCAGCATGCTTTTCATTCTATCAGTTTGAAATCTTCAAAAGACCTTCAATATCATCCCTCCACCCTCAAGATGAATTTTTAGAAGATAAGGAGACAGGCTACAGGGAGTCTTTTAGTTAAGAGGAAGGAAACTTGTTATATACAGAACATCACCTTATGCTTCATCAGAAAAGGTATCATATGACTTTGTACCTGAGATAGTGAGATATTCTCCATGTTTGCCCTGCATTTCTATTCTTCAGATCTTCTTTGCTGTTTCCAGATCCATGTGTGCATGTGAAATGCACACGGTGATTTCCATAGAAGGAAATTTTCTCTGAATTGACAAAACCCCAATTTTGGCTATTTCATGAAGAGCAATTAATCTTTGCTGCCTGCTTTCTAAAATGGTAACGAGAAAGAACTCAGACCGTAGAATAAAAAACTTGTAATTGAGGGATCAGAAGACATAAAATATTTAACAACCCTACATGCAACTACTACCAGAGGTATATTTAGATGTTAAAAATGCTAACATTACATACAAATTCTTTTTGGTATTTATAATCCATACACAACTGTAATTGTCTTACTTCAATTTTTACCATGGTGAATTATATATTTGGGACTTCACAATTCATTGCAACTACTAATCTGACAAACAGAAAAATTTGCACATGCTCTCTACCATGGCAACAATGCCTCCCAGTAAGAACTGAAATATCCTGGTAGACAGCAATCCATTGGGAAGCATATCTGATGATAAATAATGCCTTGCATTGGCCTTCATTAGTGACATCTCCCAAGCAGTTTGCTTATGAGATAATGGCAGCTGAGAAATAATATGCTATATTTTATAGTCAGATAAGGAGAGGGATTGGAATAAAAGGAGAACCATCCATTCCCTCAGCCTACGCGTGATTATGAACTTGCTCTCATAAATACAGCAAATAATGACAGAAGAAAAAAAAAACAACTCTTTTTGGCCGCACTGATTGAGAAAGCTACCTCAGGTTCAAGCCAGCCTTAATGAGGGAACGAGTGTCTTTTTTGAAACAATTCATAATTTTGCAAATCTAGCAGAGAATAAAAAAGGGCACAAAATACAACATCTATCAATTTTCTATAAGCACTGGCTTGACACATGATTTACTAAATATATTTTTAAGATCATTACAAAAATGATCTTTAAAAATGTAATAATTAAAAATATTTTAACAATTAGGGGCTGAATTCAGTAGCTGCAATTTGTAGGGTTTACATACATTAACCACTACCTAATATTTCACTCTCAAGTTTCTTTGGTAGCTCCCAGGCAGAGCAGTCTCACAAAACTATGGAAGATTATGTTACAATTTTTCAGATTCTGAATACAGACAACTTCAGAATTCGCTTAATCTGGCACTGCAGACAGTACAACGGAAGATATCTTCAACAGGAGTTGAGATGTACAGGAAAGCTACTGAGAAAATAGTTGAAAAGTCCATTCATAAAACTTTTATTCCACTTACATCAACTTAATACACATGTTCTTAACAGTTATGTTTAGATTGTTCATGAAAATTTTCAGGAGACATTAAACAAAGCTAGCCATCATCTCAAGTTATTTCCCTGTTAACTATTTTTACAGCACATGCATGTTAGGCAAAGTATCAAAAAAAATCACAAAAGCAAAACCCTAAAAAAGTTAAATACATGGGTTTGTTTTACTGCTGTGCTCGATATACAGTGTAATTATGATATCAAGCATTTCATTTTTTACTGCATCTTTACTTGTACATTTGTTCTTAGGTTGCCTAAACCATTTAAATACAAATAAATTGTGTAGCAAAAATAATGAAAGCAACAGCAGGTAACTTTACAAGTAATGGAATGTGAACCGTTTCTGCCCTTCTCTAGAGAAAGTTCATTTGGTTAGCAAGCCACTTTAAGGAACATCTTTCAGCTTTAATCGAAGATGTATTCTTGGATTGTAGATTCCACAGATTCACATGATTGACATGTAATATCCATGGCACATTAATTTTTCTTTGCTGTGCGTTCCAACATTGAAGTACCCACATTCACTACACCTATGTGGTTGCAACCATCATCCCTTTTTTTAACCACTGTGACAGACCAATATGCAAGCAGTTTTTCATCGCTCAACATAGGAAGTTGTTTAACATTGGCTTTTGTGGGAAGCCACAAAGTACCAAGAGTACTATGCCAAACATGTAAAACTTTTATAAAAATTCCACATCCCTATATTGGCCACCTTGGATGAAACAAAAGTTCCCCAAATGTTAACTGGCTCTATTCCCCTAATATTAAACATAAACCACATGGGAAATATAGAAATCCAAATAGAAGTAACATAAACCTGTCATAAATCGTAAACAAAAACTATTTGTGGGACAGCATGGATGACAAATGGTCTACTGTGTAAATTTTAGAATGAGGCAGACAAAAATTGGAAGGCTGGTTAATTCTCCCCTCCTTCTCCTGCTTCAGCTTCATCTCCTTGGGTATCTGATGTCCACAACTGTTTAAAAAAATGCAGACATGTGTTACTCTTTAATGTTTTAGTCATATAAAGTGTTCAGCATGTTTATCTCCTAGAAAGCTATGCTTTAAGAAAAAAAAGACTCTTTCAAGAGTTAAAACAACTGAGTAAAATAAATTCATGCCACAAATTTTTACTAATTAGACTTCAGTTTTTATTAACAATAGCTACTTGATAACTTAGCATTAAGGTATTTATCCTTACTTGTATTTAAAATGTCCAAGTACTTACTGTCAAATTGTCTCTCAGTAACTGCATTATTAGTGTGCTGTCTTTGTATGACTCTTCACTTAACGTATCAAGTTCAGCAATGGCTTCATCAAAAGCCTATGGTTAAAAAAAAGTACATTTGTACATGCAAAACCTGTTAAAATACTAAATGCAATATAATAGTTAGATTATCAACTCACAGTCTTCGCAAGGGAACAAGCTTTCTCCGGTGAGTTCAGGATCTCATAATAGAACACAGAGAAATTTAAAGCCAGTCCTAATCTGATAGGATGTGTTGGTTGCATCTCTTTTTTGCTGATTTCAAAAGCTTCTTGGTATGCTTGTTGTGACTGCTCCACTATCCCTGAAAAAAAACAGAGTAAACATCACACTAAGCAATTTTATTTGGAGTTCAAAAGCACAAGTATAGATTAAATTTATTCATCACACACACACATACAAGATAGTTTAGTTTCAGAAAGTGATTATTTTTAAAATATATGCAATATTTACAGATGCATGCTATCCCATGCAACTTTTTATATTGTTAAATTTATGTAATCTAGACACAATTAATATACTTATGTTTTCAGATTAAAATATTTAAAAAGAGAACATGAAAAATGTGACTTTCGCAAGTTTGTTACTTGTATAGGGTTTTTTTGTGTGCCAGAAAATCTTACAGAATACGAAGAATCTTGTTCCAGCAATTTCTTGGTTTTTACCATCACAGCAATAGTACCTTTCAAATTATAAATTACATTTAAATACAGAAACCTTGGTTCCATTGTTCTAGGAAATATGGTAATTTAAAAATGAAATATGTTAAAACAACATATAAAGAAAAAAAAGTCCAAGTTTAAAAAAGGGTAAATAAAACTGGTCAGCAAATAGTTTAATTACTGGTACTTAATTTTACTTACTGGCCTGTTTATGCTTGGGCAGTCTTTTGAAATCTAAGGACAGCAGGAGTGGGATTCAACCTGTGTTACTGCTGGTTCAGTGATAATGTTTTGCATGCGTGTAAAAAACCTTAGGCCATGCCACCGGACAGCTGAAAAGCCACTTTTTTCCTGCTTTTTCAACCTCAGCTGCAAAGGACAGGTAAGAGCCTGGGCAGGCAGGTGGGCCAAACAGCAGCAAATACAGAACTGGTTCAGTGTCTGCTGCTCTTCAGAGCTACCGGTTCTATAGAGCCAGGCAGAACCGGTAGCATCCCACCCCTGAAGGACAGGCACCTGGATGGAATACATCACATCATATGTAGGCAGGGGGCTAGAAGAGCTTTTTTTAAAAAAAAATGTAATATTTTGGGATCAAACAATTTGTTTTAATTTTTATCCTGCCTTTTTTCTCCACTCAAACTGGTGAACGTACCCTATAATCCATCCTTCTTCCTATTTTTCCCCAGAACAACAACACTTTTTTTAAAACAAATTTTATTCAGTTTTTCACATTAAAAACAAAAATCTCTTTTTAGTGGACAACATATTTCCAGGTCATCACCTTTACATACAAATATGACAGCAATTATACATTCATATATGCATACTTAATTCTATTATTACCTTTTTCATTCCAAATTTTCAGTAAGGAGAGAAACACATTAATTCTTGCCTCTTTCATTAATCTTAATCGAAACATTTCAAATATAATCCTTTAATATTTATTTTAAAAATAAAGATAAACAATGTTTGCCTAATAATAATAATGATAATAAAAAAAGTTACCAATGTCTCTCTTTGCTTTTAATAGTCTATATTAACTTATTAATTTAGTTGGTTCTTTAGTCTGTCATATTCCCTTTCCATTACACATTCTTTTTATAAATTCTAGATTAATACAAATTTTAACACTAAAAAAACAATAACAACCAAGTATAGGTTTCCCCCCGTTTACTGCTTTGAGCGTGACACCCCAATGATTAAAATATACCTTTATTCCCTCATCTTGATTCCCAATAAACCATTATTTTTAAGAAGTTATAATAATAATCATTACATCTTTTCATTTGGATTCCGCAGCAGTGTCTATATTACCCTATTTTCTAAATATTTTTAATTGCAGAAATATTATTACCCCTTGTCACCCTGTAGAATTCCCTCTTTAATTCATCAACCATTATCTCTGAAAAAAACAATTTCTTTTCAACATTTTAAGATTTCCATATTTCTTTATTTCGTGCACCTGTTTCTTACTGCCTCTCCTTCCCCCTCTTTTCCCCATATCTTTTCTCATTCCAGTTTATATCCCTCTTTCTTAGTATCTTCCTTTCCCCTTTTCTGCTGGGTCTTTCTGCCTTTCCTGACTTCACAGGTATTCCCCCTTTTGATTGCCTTAAATCTCAACTTTTTAACCTTCCTTCTTTCCCTTCTTTGTAGCGTTCTTTGTGTTAATTGTCTATTTAAAATGTCTTCTCCTTGAGTCGACTCCTCCTCCTCTGAAGCTCTTTCTTCTTGTTCTTCAATCGCCATTTCCATTTTTTCTAACACAGAGCAAAGTGATTCGCCTCTTTCCTGTAGTAATTCTCTCCTATTTTTTAAAGTTTCATTTGTAATTCCCGAAAAGATATCATCATTACACACTCTTATATTTTATGATCGTTAAAGTCCACAAAAAAACCACTTTTACTTTCCTTCTTTCTTCTTTCAATTTTCTAAAGTTCTCAGTTATTCCAGCCCAGGGTCTATACCAAAAACATCAATCAATCCCACAGTCAGTCTTTCCTTGCTTTTTCCTTTATTCTGGTTCTGCTTTCACTTTCTAAGATTCTTACTTTGTTTCAATATTTCTTTAATGTTATATCCACACAAGTTCATTCAGAAACAGGATGCTTTCCCTTTTGTTTGAGCTCAAGTTTTTGTCAAAAGGTGGCACTCTCCATTATACAAAGTCTTCACCTTTTCCCCCTATTTTTTTATTTAGGGTTTTTCGAACCTCAATATTCCAGCACAGTCCAGTCTCCAATCTGTAAACTTTATTATTATTATTTTTTGACAATCTTAAATCCAGCTTTATTTTATGCCTGTTTATTCCCAAAATATTTTAGTCCAATTTAGTTAAATCTTTAGTTCCAGCTTCTTCCTTTCCCGGTTCGAAGCCCTGCTTAGCTGTCAAAAATATTTTCTTTTTTTTCCCTTGTCCCTTTGTAATTTCGCCGCTCACTTTTCTTTTCTTAAAAATTCCACGTTACCTTAATCCCGGGGTACTTTTGTTTAGTTGTATTGCCCAGTTGTCCCGGTTCAGATGTTATCCACCTCTTTCTTCCCTCCTGCACAAATCTTAATCCAGCTGAGTCCTCCTTTTCGGGGTGGCCATTTTAAACCACCGCTGCAGTCGTCTTCGGGGGGGGGGGGAAAGACCAAGCCCCCCCGGGGGGGGAGATGCGGCTCCCCTCAACCCGGCTTGCGGCTTCCCCTTACTCCGCTGCCCCTCCAAGGCAGCTTCAGCCCCTAATCGTAATAATCGGGGCTCTCCAACGAAAGAGCACGGACGATAGCCGCAGAGAGTTGCGATCTATGGTCCGTCTGCGAGGAGGCTCTGCCTTCTTCCCCCAACAACAACACTTTGAGGAGCTGAGGAAGAGCGATAAAAGAAGCATTCTAGTGCAGAAGAGGCAAATGCTATAGAGGCTAATTATACTAATTTTAAAAAATGACCTTGTGGCACAACCAGTATGGAATGAATGATCTAGATCAGAGCATCTATTTTTAAAACAATGACAGGCACAACTTACTTCAGCCTTCCTGAGCTTGATGCCCTTCAGACTGTTGGATTACAATCCCCAGCCAACAAAAAATACAACAATAAAGGCCTAAATAGTTAGCAAATGGTTAAGAACTGTATTTTAGGCTGGTAAATTTCCACAGTCAAACATATGTAGTGTGAAGCATATTTGGAGTGACTGCCTTACTAATACCCAGAATAAATGGTTTTCTAGTCACAACAAGGAGAAATTACATTTTCATTTTATTATTGCTTCAAGTTGCATACAAGGAAAAATTGCCTTGCATTCTATAGTCCGAGAGCAGGGTAGAAAAAGGCCTTTTCCTGAATAGAAGATAAAGAGGCATCATGGACTTCAGGGCTTAGTCATGTTTATACAGAAATCAATACCTGATCATACAATCAGATCCTAAATGTTTAAAATTGAAAAAAAAAAACACCAACCATTTGAATTGGGTTCAAGGCACCATATGACTGCATTACAGTACTGTTAACTGGCACATTTTGCACAAACTGAAACTTCATGACTTTCCAAACCTGTTGTAGCTGATTGCCCAAATTATAACATTTGTTAGCTCTCCATCTCCAGAAACAAGAGAAATTGGTAGGAAGGAATTCAAACGGCCTTAATTCCTTCCATGCTTCCTGTGCAACATGAGGAAACCATGTATTATCCGCACATTATTTATTATGCAGTACCCTGTGTGAGGGGTACAGTTCTACCTGTGCTATTAATCTGAATACTCCTCAATGAACTGAGATCATCAAATCAGGTAGATCTCAACTTACAACCACAATTGGGAATGGAAGTTTGGTCACTGAGCAAAGCAATTACTAAGCAAGATATCACAGGATTACTTCGCTCCATACTGCAACCTCATTTCTCCCAACTGTGGAAAGCACGAAAAAATGCTGTGTGATGGAGGGCAGGCAGTTTCCCCTCTGTGCACTGGAGAAACAAGGTGGTTATTGTGAAGATCCCCACTTCATTTCTCCTGCCCAGCATACAATTTCCTCTCCCCTCCATGTGGAAGGGAATTCATGCACTGGGCTGGAAAGAGGAGTGGGGATCACGGCGACACAAGCTGCATTTCTGCAGCCTGATGAAGATTCCCCTCCTCGCTCCATGCAGAGGGGAAATCCTTTGGCAAGCAGCAGTGGGCAACTTTCCTTGCCAGCTTCCTCATTGACTTTCTGGGGAAGCTGGCAGAGAAATGACAATCACGGGACCTTAGGGCAATCGGCAACCGATTATAAATGGGAACAGGTCATCAAGCACTCAGATCAAGATCACTTGGCCACAGGAGAGGGGGGAGGGGAGAAACCACAGTGTTTTATGATGCCCAGGAGTGCTTTATGGATCATCCAGCACCTTTTCCAAGCTGCCATAACTCTAAACGGTCATTAAGTGATCGACTGTAAGTCAAGTACTATCTGTATTGTTTCAATACAGTCACCATCAGCACTTGGATCCTTCTGGTAGATTTTCAACAGGAAAACCACTTTTCTGCCCATTATGCACATCTGGACTATAATGTGTGTATACAGGTAGTCCTCGACTTCCAAGAGTTCATTTAGTGACTGTTCAAAGTTACAATGGCACTGAAAAAAGTGACTTATGACTGTTTTTTCAGAGTT